TAAAATGATGCAGAAATAAAAAAAAAATATTGGATCAAGAGACAGGTTTAGAGAAATGGCGACATAGACACATTGCATCATTCTTTGAGGGCAGCAATAAAGAGATTTCATTTATTCATTCATTCATTCAAGTAGCTGTTTATTATTTTTATACCACGAATGTGGTAAACAAGTATGCAGACCTTTTTATTCGGACCATAAAACAGTAATTGCTCGAAATAATGAAATTAAAATGTTAGATTAACAGACAGTTTTAGAGAAAAATGGCGCCACGGAATCGACCTCACTGTCATTTAAATATTTTATTACGAAAGGTTTGTTTATACCTATTAATCATTAATTTACAATTAAGCAAAGCCAGGACAAGTCACTAGTAATAAAATAAACTCATGATTATAATAATTACTTCAGCCGTTAACTGTCCACTGCTGAACATAAGCCTTCCCTATAACTGGAGTCTTGCCAGTAGTTGCCACGCTTGGCTAGCGGATTGGCAACCGCAGTGAGGCTCTTAGAGATGTTTTAAGAGGGACACTGCTGCTAATTCCTTTACCATTAAATTTTTTACGATACCCACAGGAAAGGTAGGGGTGGCCTATTCTATGCCGGGACCACACGGCCAGGACACAGCGAAATAGCGATCCGCTGGTAATAAAATAAAATGAAATAGCTCATAATTATAAAATCAACGTCGCTCGAATCAGTTTTGTTCATCAATATTTCCCATTACCAGAGAGTTTTTTTTGATGGGTGAAAATGGAATGATCACCCCACCTGTGCTAACGGGATACGCTGGCGGAGCACCAGTGAAGGGTGATCGATGAGAATGTAAGCAGGCCAGTTAGCTCATCATGATTAATTCATCAGGAATTAACCATGTTAGTTTCCAGGGAGAACCGCGAGGAGGTCGACCTGGTTAGGTATATTGCTAACAATGGTATTTTTAGTCTCCATTACTAACAATCCCTTCCCCCCCCCCATTACCAGAGAGTTAGATATTTAAATTGACACAAAATGTCATTGGTGTCAGCTAGATTCGAACTCACGCACGACCTTTGCGGTCTGTAAGCAGAGATAGTATATCACTGGGTCACGACGCTCTCGTTCCTAAATTATACCATACTTAAGCAATTTTTGTCGTGACAGCCACGCTTCGGAGCTGACACAGCCCAAATATTAGGAATGGACGTTGTAATTTCACCTTTTAAAACGTCTAAGGCCGTAACGTAGCTATTATTTCGCTTTATAAACACGATACCACGCGTACGTACGTAGAACCGGAGGCGATAGCTAGTTAAAATGCCTCGAGTTAAAACACGTGTCGCAAAACGTGCGTGGGCTGAATAGCGGTCGGAGATTGGTGGCTCATATGGAAGGTCGTAGCACTTATGGTTGTGATAATCTTCGAGTGTTGGCAGTCGCACACATACTAATGGTAGCGGAATTAAACAAAATAATTCTAATGAAATAACCAGTGATATGGGCATCCACAATATAACAACTAGTTTAGTAAAATAGCTAGTTACAAAAAAACCAACTACAACTGTGATGAAACCAGTTATTTTGTTTTAAAAACTAAATAACCGATTCAGTAACTTCTATATTACAATTTGTAAAACCGATAGAAAACTAAAATTGCCAAATCAAATTATAGGAGAGGCCGCTTGTAACGAAATTAAGGGGGGGTTTTGGTATTTGTCAAACGGTCACGGTGTTGTAAATTGAGATTGCACATAACGTTTATACCGTAAAAAAAGGTTGCCATTGATTTAATCTATGGTGTCTACTTAAGTGTTTTTTTTCAAGCGACTTCAAAAAGAAGTAGATTAAAACCAAGCCTGAACTTGATATTCACTATGATAGTCACTCTATGTTCATGTCTAAATTAAAAAGTTGATGTACCACGCTGTTATTTATATATTTTAATGATTTATAATACAACTTAAATTCAATTGAAATAATTTAATCATAATTTTAATCAATTGTTTATATTATTAATATATTTATTCATTTAATAATATTTAATAATTTTTTTATGCAACTTAGAATGGAAAACAAGCCCACGGCCCACCTGATGGAAAGTGGTAACCGTCGCCTATAGACATGAGCAATACCATGGACATAACAGAGTATACTGTTTCACCCATGATACCGCCCATGCGTCGCCATTTTTCAGGACTCACGTTATGCCTGTATACTCTGTAAATTTACTGCCATATCCCAGCCTTCAAACCGGAGGGGAAAGGGATTGTTAGTAATGGGGTTTGACAGCCCCATTGCTAGCAATTTACCCTATCAAGTCGACCTCCACGTTGTTTCTCCTGGAAACGATCGTGGCTAAGTCTTGTTTAATTTGTCACGATGGGCTAACTGATCTGTTTTCATCCTCACCTATCATCTCTCACTGGTGCCCCGCCAAAGTATACCGATAGCGCAGGCGAGGTTACCATGCTATTATCGCCCATTAAAAAAAAAACCTTCAAACCGAAACACAGCCATGCAAATTTAATTGCATTTTAATGTTTATCAAACACAAAGCATGCTGTGGTTGCCTGTAAATGTAAGAACAGTTAGACCTAATCCACTAGTGTATTGTATTGAAATGTTTCGTTGTATCTTATGTTGGTAATCCTATAAATAAATAAATATATAAAAAAATATATCCTAATTAATAATACCAGAGACTTTGTACAAAAGTCGATTGCTTGGGTACTTCTGTCCCATTCGTGTTTCAACTGTGAAGCAGTTGTGTTTGCATAGCTGTGTTTTGGTTTGAAGGAAGGGATATGGCATGAATTTACTGGGTACAGAGGAATAACACCTAAGTCCTCAGGAATGGCAACGCATGGAGGGTATCATGGGCTAAACAGTATACTCTATTAAGGTACCGCTCATGTCTATAGGCGACGGTTACCACTTTCCATCAGGTGGGCCGTCAGCTTGTTTGCTATTCTAAGTTGATTAAAAAAAAATTTATAAATTTATCAAGATCACGCGACCGAAATCACGGATAAAAACTAGTCTGTACACACATGTAAACTATTTATATATAGTCTCGTTCACCAGTGTGTGTGCGTTGACGATTGATAGCGTTGTTTTTTTTTAGGAGCAAAACACTTGTTTATTATTACGTAAACAGTGTCTGCAGTCGATTTACATAACGTATTATTTAACAGCTGTTTCCAATACGAATGACATCGATCACACTTTCTCATCTCAATTAATAACTTATTTATGAAAATAAATATCATCACTATCATATCATCCGTTCTGTCCATTGCTGAACATAAGCCTTCCCCAGAAGGAGAGTTCTGGCGGTAGTTGATACGCTAGACAGGCGGGTTGGCAACCGCAGTTAGGTGGGGGGAGAAGGGATTGTTAGTAATGGGGATTAGCAACCTCATTGCTAGCAATAAACCCTATCAAGTCGACCTCCACGCGGTCCCCCCCCGGAAACCATCATGATTGATTCGTTGTTGAATTTGTCAGGATGGGCTAACTGACCTGCTTCATTCTCACCTATCATCCCTCACTGGTGCCCCGCCGGTGTATACCGATAGCGCAGGCGGGGTTACCATTACATTATCATTCATTAAAAAAAAACCGCAGTTAGGTTTTTAGTGATGTTTTAAGAGGGACGCTGCTGTCCATCCCTCTACTGTTAAAGTTCCCTTAATCGCCTCTTACGGCATCCATAGAGAAGGAAGGGGTTGCCCATTCTATGCAAAACGACACGTCAAATTAGACCAAATTAAGGCAATTGTGAATATGCTATCCATGGACTTACGAGCTCCATCTTAGACCGCATCATCGTTTTCCATCACATGAAGTATAGAGGAACCCATCAATAGTAAAAAAGATTCACATTATTTTTAAGTCAAAAAGTAGGTAATTTTTTTTTAATCCTACCCTGCTTTTTAATAAAATTGGAGTATGTAATTTTATTTGTTAATTTGTATTGTTTCACAGATTGTAAATCTTTTGAGAAATTAAATATCTAGTAACCCTAATAGGTAGGTGGTTGGGGAGAAAGGGATTGTTAGTAACGGAGACTGAGAATCCCATTGCTAGCAATATACCCAACCAGGTCGACCTCCTCGCGGTTCTCCCTGGAAACTATCATATATTGCTAGCAATAGGATTCTCAGTCTCCATTACTAACAATCCCTTTCCCCTCCGGTACCCATATTATCCATATCCACACTTAGATGCACCTACATTTTAATGTTTGTAGTGATAATATGACGTCTAGAATACATTCGTACGCGTTACCTATGTTTTGTTCTAAAGCCAACATAATAGACACAAGAGCTGTGAGTCAACTATAAATTATACTAGTAAGAAGCCTTGTGCCTTGTGCTACTGCTAGTAGAAATTGTATATGGAAAAAAAAAACAAAAGGTCATTGAATCTCCTTGCCAGTTTCATTTTCTGTTAAGTCCATTTGTTTATTACTTATATGTGATTATAAAGAAAATCTTCATAAGCCATTTCTAAATTTTTATTTTTGATGGGTGAAAATGGTATGGTAACCTCGCCTGCGCTAGCGGGATACGCTGGCGGAGCACCAGTGAAGGGTGATAGATGAGAATGAAAACAGGCCAGTTAGCCCATCATGATGAATTCATCAGGAATTAACCATGATAGTTTCCAGGGGAAACCGCGAGGAGGTCAACCTGGTTGGGTATATTGCTAGCAATGGAATTCTCAGTCTCCATTACTAAAAATCCCTTTCCCCCCACCATTTCTAAATTAATTTCATTCATTTTTATAAGTTTTTTTTTCTAGAAGTACCAGTACATCAGAAAAGCGAAGAGAAATATTTAGAGATAGAACACGATGTACCCTATCTATTTTTATTTAATGTTCGAATTAGATTAACATATGTAATTACACGGATAGAGAAAACAATGAGTTTGTAACAATGAATTCTATTTAATAACTTCATATATTTATATATTTAGTTATTAGGTATTATCGTTCTACAAATATGTACTTACTTATTCACATCCAATCTAAATTGTAAATTGAACGCACATCTCAAAATCTCAATGGCAAAAGGACAGAATATTTACAGAGTACTTATGTAAATTAGAAACAAAACAATAATTGCACTTTAAGAACTAAACGACACTTTGAAACACACCCTCACGAGACAGAAAATTTGTCATGATTCAAAAACGTAGGATTTTTCCCATCACTCGATAATCACACTGAACAGGTACACGTGTATTTAAACTATAACACTATATAGTTCGCCATAAACAAACGTTCCCATGCCGGACATTCAAACGCACTGGTCTCGACTCGACCGACTCATGCGCCTAATAAAAACTTTTAAACACAACACCACAATAAAACGGCCCAGTCCCGCTACGTCACCGTTTCAATGCGTCACAGTTAGAATTAGATAAAAATAATTTAAACATATTAATGTCCACTAGATTGTGGTATAACATTACAAATTATCTCTTACCTTCACACTTTAATTACTTTACATATTTTGCTTACCTTATACTTAATATAATTATATGAATATAAATTAATAAGAAATACTAACAAATATCAAGGTGTCAGAAGAACGATTGTTTCACACGTTTTACACAAATTAAAATATTGTTTTCGTTAATAAAACCGATACTGTCTCGCAAATGTACGTAGTGCGAGGATGTCGGAAAGTGACTGCTCTCTGATTATGACTTTTGTTGATAAATTTTATCAGCGGCAACAATAATATTGGTAAAACTACATATATTATCGTTACATTTAAAAGTCAATGTACGAATACAAATGTCGGTGTGTAGACATTTAAAGTTAAAGATATTTTTTTTTTATGTAAACATCATATGTATGTATATGACTGTGTTTAAATCTCATATATGCCATAACATAAATATTTTTATTTTTCAGTACTGAGACATTAATGAGGTACATGTCTGCTATTTAAAGTTATCGTAGTCTATGGACTTTAATTTTGTATAAAAAATAGACATGAGTGTCGACCCTGAAGCGTGTGTACCTATACTATAATACTATACCTACTCACACTACATATTCTTGTTTTGATTTTCATTGATTTGTCCTTAAAATCTATATTTAATAAACTTCACACGAATGTGAAAGTTCAAAGGAACAATTTATTTTTAATTTGTAGACCTTGAACAGTATTTTTTTTATTCGACGTAATCTTCATTTTTAGTTCTTCAAACTCCTCCATATTTTGTGTATGATATATCATATCTAGATATTAATATAAACTGAAATCTACTTATTTATCTATGCTTGTTAACATGTATTTTATTTTTCTATGAGGCTATTATAAAATGTTGCTGTATTATCTCAGCAGAACAGTTCTTCCTCTTTCAGTGGGCGTCGTTAGAAGAATAAGAGAATTTAAGTGCTTAAGAGAACTTAATGGGCGAAGGATGGGAAGCAGCAGCCTTCTTAAAATATTATCAAAGCCTATCTACAGTTGTTAACCCGCCTGCCAAGTGTGGCAACTACTGGCAAAACCGCTCAATGGAGGAGGCTCATGTTCAGCAATGAACGGTTAACGTTTGTTTATGATTTTAGTTTAATATCAACTTAATAAAATACAGTGTCACGGTTATTCAGAGATGTACAATTTTGAAGTACTACTCTATTTTGGAAGACTTTCTAGGTATTAGTTTATTTTGGAAGATGTAATATATAAATTCTTACTAATGTTATAAATGTTTGTTTGTTTATTACCTTCGTACACTATATGAGATAGAGAAGGATTACTACTACTTTTTATCCCAGTTAGTAAACATATCCCGGTCACGCAGACGAAAACGCGGGTAAAATCTAGTATTAAATAAATATTTTAATTTTAATTTCTTGAAAGCGTGCTTTTAATTGTATATTTTTAAAGAGATTATTAAATTACTAGTAAAACATATTCAATATATCACTAAGAAAATCCTAAAAAAAATCAATTAACAGTTGGCCGGTTTTATTTATTTTGTATTCATACTATAATGCAAAGGGCCGTAACAAGAGCATACCTCATCAAAACCGATCGCCCTGCAGTTGTGCAACATGGTTATAACGGCGTCTGTCTCGAGGCCTCCGCCTCTCACCTTGACTCGGACCTCTGATAACTAGCTTGCTGTTTCTGCTAGCCTGGTAGTCAGCATTGAACTCTGTGGTTTGTATCATTCATTTTTATTGATATATCTGTTGATTTCGTTCTTATATATTTTCCCATCCAATGGTAGAGGGGGTGGGGCTTTGAAAACAGATTGTTAGTAATGGATACTATCGACCCAATTGCCAATACCCTGTCAGGTCGACCTCAACGCGGACTCCGCAGGAAACTACCGTAATTAATTCTTAAAAAACTTAGCAGCATGGGTCAACTATTTGCTTTCATTCTCACCTTTCATCCCTCACTGGTGGCCTACCAGCGTATACCGGTAGTTCAAGCGGAGGTACCATTCTATTAAAATTCATAAAAAGTCCAATATTAGGATTAGATGGCTCTTGTAATAAAATGGTAAAACTGCCATCTCTTGTCAATTTTTGTAGACTACATACCAACTTCAAAATAAAGGGGGTTCTCGATTCAATTGTATTTTGTATATTTGTTACCTTATGACTCTGTCAGTTGTAAACAGATTTGGAAAATTCTTTTTTTTTTTTATCTTAAATAATGTACTTACAGTTTGGTCCCATAGAAATTTTATCAACTTTACCAGAGGGAGACTTTGTACAAAAGTCGTTTGCTTGGGTATCTCTGTCCCATTCGTGTTTCAACCGTGAGGCAGTTGTGTTTGCATGGCTGTGTTTCGGTTTGAAGGGTGGGATATGGCATGAAATTACTATTAGGAATAACACCTGAGTCCTCAGGAATGGCAACGCATGGGAGGTATCATGGGCAAAACAGTATACTCGTACTCGTACTCTGTTATGTGCATGGTACTACTCATGTCTATAGGCGACGGTTACCACTTTCCATCAGGTGGACCGTCAGCTTGTTTGCCATTCTAAGTTGCATAAAAAAAAACCTAATTTGGTTCAGTAGTTAAGTTTTTAAATCAAAATAACCGGTTACAAACACACATCTTAATTTGATAATACTTTTATTATCATTATTTATTTATTCTTTATTGCACAATAAAACTTTGTACAAGTGGCGAGCTTAATACCATATGGCATTACATCTAATATATAAAATTCTCGTGTCACGGTGTTTGTTACCAAACTCCTCCGAAACGGCTTTACCGATTTTCATGAAATTTTATGAGTATATTCGGTAGGTCTGAGAATCGGCCAACATCTATTTTTTATACCTGTCAATGATAAGGATGACGCCCCCCCCCCCCAAATATTATTTTTTATTTTTTTGTCAATTTTTTTATTTTTAAATTATTATAATTTAGCATTAAAAATACATACAACTTTAAATTTTCATCGTTTTACGATCAACCCCTGTAATCGTGATTTTTATATTTCGCAATAAGTGGTAAAACAACGTTTACGGGTCAGCTAGTTATATATATAAATCGCGCAGTTTCACTTCCGTATAATTTTTATATTTTTTTTTTTTTATACTAATTAGAATAGCAAACAAGCTGACGGCCCACCTGATGGAAAGTGGTAACCGTCGCCTATAGACATGAGCAGTACCATGGACATAACAGAGTGTACATTATAATAAAATATAGGTAATAAGAGTAATTCAAAAAAGTAAAATCTGCGATTTTAGTGAAAGAATTTTTACAACTGGTTTATACTATATTTAAAAAAAAACTGCCTCTGTAATATTGATTAAATGGGGGGAAAGGGATTGTTAATAATGGAGACTAAGAATCCCATTGCTAGCAATATACCCAACCAGGTCGACCTCCTCGCGGTTCCCCCTGGAAACTATAATTATATATAATTCCTGATGAATTCATCATGATGGGCCTATTGGCCTGTTTTCATTCTCATCAATCACCCTTCACTGGTGATATTGAAATAACCGTTTTTTACTGCATGTATATGAATATATATATGATACATACACCAAAATGACATTTTTTACAATTTTTGTCTGTCTGCCTGTCTGTCCGTTTGCTCCGGCTAATCTCTGAAATGGCTGGACCGATTTTGACGGGACTTTTATTGACAGGTAGCTGATGTAATAAGAAGTAACTTAGGCTACGTTTATTTTAGAAAAATTATTTTATTTTGAAAAATAAAGCAATGTTGCAATGTGCAAGTACCAATACCGAGCGCAGTTAGGCAGAACGAAGTTCGCCGGGTCAGTTAGTTTTCCATAAAATTGAACAACCAATAAATACTATATTGATATTTATGCATGCCATGGGACGTGCATGGGTGAGTATTATCAGAGAAAAAAAAGAACATACATACATACATATATATGACATTCGCGGCATATTTTATTGTATTTTATTTCAAAAGGTCAGTTGATATTCATTGACCTTTTTACGACAATGAGGTCAGAGTCGATGTAATTATATCATCTCATATACTGAGATGGTAATTGCTTCTTTACAATGTATTTTATTCTTGTTTTGATGACGAATAAATGTAAAAATTTGTTTGTTACCTTATATCAGGGGTGGCCGACTTGACTAGACCCAAGATCCACTGTTTACTGACAAAACCCTGTGCGATCTGCCAATTACATACTTCTTGAAATCTCAAATGAAACAACATAGTTCAGTAAACAACTATGTAGTATTGTCGTATTTTTTTTTTATTTTTGAGGGAAAACAAAAAATTGAAAATTATTCTTAATAACTACTTAAGTATTTATGTTTTTTTTTTTTCTTTAATGGATGATAATGAAATGGTAACCCTGCGCTAACGGTATACGCTGGCGGAGCACCAGTGAGGGATGATAGGTGAGAATGAAATCAGAGGGCCTACCATGAAATGTTTTCCGAAATTTCGGATCCGAACGAAACAAAAATTTGATGCTAAAATTACATGATACGTACCGTTTAAAAATATTAAAAATGCTAAAATATCGTTCCTTTGTACTTTTATGGTAGGATTTATGACAAACGAAATGTTAAGCTCCATTTACAGGATCGATTTCGGTACGAACAAAAACACGAAATTGAGCGCGAAAATTCGGAATTTCATTTCATAGTAGACCACCAGGTCAGTCGGTCCCTCGTGACGAATTCATAGGATTTATACGATGTTTTCCAGCGGCAAACACGTGGAGATCAGCCTGGCTGGGTATATTGGTAGAAAAAGAGACCCTCAACACCGTTATTAGCAAAATCTTACACCTATTACGTCTCTAAATAATAAGGAGGCGAAATTATGAACAATTATCAAAAAAAAAAAAATACTTTGTACTTTATATTATTCTCAGTTTCGTGTATAATAAAATATATGTCATATATGTGTAAGTATATTTGTTATCTATTCGTTTATATATTTAATTTTAGTATGTATGTATATCAATAATTAGTAGTACCGTTCGATGTATCGTTGATCAATTATTGTACACATATATGTACTA